GAGGCAGAAGGCGGTCTCGGAGGTAACCAGGTCCGATGCCATGGAGCGTTTTAAAGGTGGTAACTAACACCTTAAAACGCACTCGGAAGATCACTGGTAACCAGTGCAGCTCGCGCAGGAGCGGTGTTACATGGGAGCGACGAGTCCCTCCCAACACCGCCCGCGCGGCCGCATTCTGGACCAGTTGAAGTCTCCGGGTACTCCTCAAAGGGAGCCCCATGTAGAGGGCATTGCAATAGTCCAGGCGGGAGGTGACGAGAGCTTGAGTGACCGTGCGCGCATCACATTGCATCTTCAGATGTGTGGAACTAAAAGAGAGTAATGCAAATTGAGTCTATCTATATTTTTCCTATCCTGCTCTATGGAGTAGAGAGTTGGTCTCTGACAGAAGGCCACCTGAAGAGACTAGAAGCATTTGAAATGTGGATTTACAGCCGGCTGTTAACGTATAAGCTGGGTTGACAGGATCAGAAATGAGGTGATAAGCCGCCTGGGAAAGCCAAGGGAAATCATCCAAACAATTAAAAAATGAAAGTTAGAATACTTCGGACATGCGATGCGACACCCAGAAAAATACGGCATACTCCATTTAATCCTCCAGGGAAAGACTGAAGGCAAACGAGGCCCAGGCAGAAGAAGAACATCGTGGCTTCAAAATCTAAGGGACTGGTTTGGACAAAACTCAGCAGCACTTTTTTGTGTGGCTGCTGATAAAAACAGGATCGCCAACATGATCGCCAATGTCTGATAACAGATATGGCACAAGAAGAAGACGATAAACACTAATAAATAAATTCAGTTTATTTATTAGCCCAGTCCAATACTGTGTTTGTTTTATCCGGTACAATTTGAGTCAATAATCAGGCCGAGAGAGAAAAGTGGGGTTTAGTGTTTTATTTCTGCGCAGAGGTAAAATGGATGCTTGGGACCCAAGTCCAAATGAAGCATGATTGCTGACATTCAACAAATTGTTTTTATACCATAAAATCACATATAAAGAATTTCCAGATATTTCATCGCTTGTTCCTGGTTTATTGAAAACATGTATGACTCACATCCCATAATAAGTAAGGGAAAGTTCACTTGATAAGCTCTCGAGCTCTGGGTAGTTTCTGTAACCTGCTAATGATAAAACTTTTTACCTCTGGACCTTTGCCCAAACTTGGCCATGGTTTAAGCAAAATATCACGTCACATTTCCTTGTTCCAGCAATGGTCCCACTTGCATAATACTGTTAGCACGCAGGTAGTCCTTGATTTATGACCACTATTGACTGCAAAATCTCCGTTGCTAAGCAAGGCAGTTGTTAAGTGAATTTTACAACCTTGCTTGCCACAATTGTTAAGTGAAGCGCTGCTGCTGTGAGCATAGTTGTTAAGTTGAATCTGGCTTCCCCATTGAATTTGCTTGTCAGTAAGTTGCAAAAAGGGATCACATGACCCTGGGACGCTGCAACTGTCATAAATACATGCCAGTTGCCAAGCTTCTGAATTTTGATCATGTGACCCCAGGGATGTGTTGTAAGTGTGAAAAACAGCCATGAGTCATTTTTTCCCCAGTGCCATTGAAACTTTGAACAGCCGCTAAACAAATGTTTACAAGTTGAGGACTATCTGTAGCTACACTCTAGAATGGGTCAGCTAGAGGAATTCTGGGAGTTGAAGTCCATGAGTCATAAAAGGGCCGAGTTTGAAGACCCCTGAGCCAGACTAACACTGCCTATAACTCAAACATTTGTAATTAGCCTCTTTAGCTTCTTTCAATACCTTCAAGGTAGGTGT